GGAGCTGGAGTTGGATGGAAACACGCTGACTGGAAGAGTGCCTCAATCTCTCAGGTACCATTGCACCCACACTATCAGAAAACATCATGTTTGCGATGCCAACTGCGATGCCATTTTGACACAAAGTGGCGCCATCATGGTCCTTGCGATGGCAGAAACCCGGGCGTGATGCCATCAATTAGTGTCAAATGGCATCGCAGCTTGCATCGCAAGAATATCGGTTTCCACTGGTGCCAGTCATGCACCAAAAATTTAGGCTGGCAACTGGGACTGGCGTGGCTTACTACCAAAGCTATCAACACTTTTGTACAACGTTTCCTGCGCACGACGATTTCGAGATCCTCCCTCACGTGGGGACCCACTTTTGTGACAGGAGAGGCGCCATATGTTTGAAACGCCGCAGGGGATTGTCAGAACCCTTTCGCAACGAGCTCTACAGTAGAATAGTTTGATCTGCCATGCGCGAAGCCCAATTTTAGTTGTGAGTGTGGCGCGAATTCTGCCCGCAGGAAGCTCAGCAAGACGATGACCAGCATTCTTATCAATGACAACGACCTCGAGGGTGACTTGCTTGCTTTGGCAAGTACACCTCTCATGAGAGTGGGCATCCACAACAATCCCAAGCTTTGCGGGATGGTGCCCGCTACTGTGCGTTACGCTCATGGGTACAATCCGCAAGGCACACGCCTGGGGCAGCCATGCTGAACGGGCCATCTTGATGTTGCCACGGAGGTGACTGTTGGTGTGCTTCCAGAAACAGTGCTGTTTCTAAACAGATTCCTCATTCACATGGGGTTTCCAGCGTCGGGAGTGCGCCGGCTCGCAAGGCGCAAGTCCTGTTGGCCGACAAGAACGCTCTCGTCTACCTCCTCAACCTGTCCACCATGGGCGTCTCTGTTGTAAAAGTAGTCGCTTGGATTCAGTGGTGCTGTACTTGCAATGTTGCAGTTAGAATTCCTGATCCATTCAAGGCATGCTACGGTCAGGGAGCTGTTTTGGAGGTTGAAAGTGTATCGGAGTAATCCGCAGGCGATCGCTACGCCAGATGTATCCTAAGAACTGATATGGCCTCAGGATGCATTCACTGGACGGAGGCTGTGGGCAGACAATGGAGAAATGTAGAGTCATCTGAGATCGTGAACACGCGTGATGCTCCAAATTCGCAAATATTGCTTTGTAATAACATGCATACATTAGTTAATGCGCAGTTGGATACTGTACAGACAGTGCACATGCACGCCATATATGAATATAGGAACCACAGCACCCGTATATGCAGCTGCCATATCAGGTATCTGTCCGACAGAATTGCACGTCAGGCTGCAGTGGTTCCGCTGCGGCAAGAGAAATGCCAGAGATGACTGGATTCAGATGGTCGGACTGGTGGCCCATTGAAAATATCAAGCGGTTGTCTGCAGAGAGTGCGATTTTTCTTGCAAATAAACACCAGGCAATTTCTTACATTACAAATTCTCGCAGGGGTATCGAAAACTGTATTCCTGGCATTATAGTGTCAAGAATCAGGCCGCATATAATATGGCCTGATTATTACGTACATTGGACAAATCTCAAGAGATGTGGCAGCCTGCCACTGGCACGCACACCTGTCGCTGCGCATGCATCGGAGTCTTTGTTGAAGGACACCAGAGGTGCATTTTTGTTAGAAATGCGTGCATTGCTGAAGGCTTGCTCAGAAGGGCTCCGACAAATTCCGACAACAGATGGTCATTGCGAATGTTGCTCCTGCATGGTGCAGCTTCTTGCGATACAGAAACTGCAGAAAGTCCAGCAGAATATAATGGCCACAGCAAACGGAAAAGGAGTGGCAATCGATTGCTCACGGGCAGGGATGTTACAGCGTGGAAATCCGGAGAAGACAGACTGCGTCAGAGGGATTTCTCGCTATCCCAAAATGAGCGCATCCACACTGCAGCAGCCAGTCGATCAACTGTCATGGTGGCAACAAGTGCACAACAGCGCAATGTCACGCCCTGGTGGCCTTGCCTGTGGATTAGCAAGTTTTCCACATTCTCATCTTCATTGCATGCTGGGACTGAAAAGATCTACGAGCATCCCAGTAGGAGGCGCTTTGGAACCTCGAGAAAATGACACTGCCTACATGTTCAACCAGCAAAAACTAACGGAAGCGCGAGTACAGGCCGTGGATTTGGCGTCTGGCGTGGGAATTCCGCACACGGCGGTCTTCAATTCGTTCATTTAAGTTCAACGAAGCAAGCTTGCCAACAACAGGGCGCTTAAGGCCTGTGCTGCAGGACCACCCTTGGCGGGGTCACTGCGATGGAACTTCAGGTCTTTACCTGGTAGGGCTGCCGACGCCTGCCCCCGGAGTTGTCGCCAGAACTCCAGGATTCGGGTGACCCGTGCCCAAATGGAAAAGGGGAAAGCCACCGATGACGCCTACGAGCAGCTCACCAAGACGGCCGAGTTCTGGAATATGAGGAGGGCACTCAAGGTTAATGGACTCCTCGTGCTGGCTTGGCCTGTGTCTGCGCAGATCCTGCAGTGGTCACCAACTTGAATGTCGCATTTGCGCAGCATGGGCTCCTCCAGGGTGGCAATAACGTCGACGATGATCTCCAGGGCGTCGTCCTGCAGAAGATGGTGGGTGCGGTTGCACGCCACTGCTCGACAGCAGGCAATGCGTTCTGGCTAAAGGACGGGTGCATGTGGTGGCAAAAGTGGGTGTTGTGTGTTGAAACTACCCCTGGTCATTGTTCCGCAGTCCTGCTGGTGATCAACGCCAACAAGTCTCAAAATTTCTTTAGGCCACCCTGCTTTGTTCGTTTTGTTCAAGTAAGTCTTATTCCTCTCGACTACCTACTGACCTGAGAATCATTTCGTTGATCTTATCATCATGCACCATGGTATGTTCAATTGCTTCATTGCTTAATACTTTCGTCAACGCCAGAACCTTGCTGTTTTCAATCGTGTGCTGTTATATGGACAGGAATCACAAGGTTTTGGTCAAATGGTTCGGAATTTCGGTTTCAGCTGGGCGCATAGTTCGCATTTGCAGCAGGAATGCAGCACTGGTGGAGGAAGTTCAGCACAAAAGCAAGGTGAAGCTCCACAACTCCATGGAAAAGACAGGCAGGTTCCCATGCTTGGCAAATACACAATTCTGCAATTGTTTTGCTTGTCTGGTATTACCATTCTCACATATATCAGCAGTGGCTTCCTTCATATCACCACCACAACAACCTGATGCTTATGCTCCATGGCAATTTGGGAGTTTAGGCAGTGTTGTGAGAGCTGTGTCAGTATGACAGTTGGATGTGGATGTTGATTGTGAAATCTCAAGACCATTTCTTGCCAATGCAGTGTTGTTGTAGAAATGGAACGTGCACAAGCACTGTGGAATGACCTACTGCTGGATCGGTTGAATCATCTGCGGGAAGGTGCTGGGATGCCATTGGTCAGGAGGCCGCGACCACTGGAGGAACTTCGTCGATTAAGAAACGAAGGTGCTAAAAGACTACACAATGTTCCTGAAATGGAGTCTTGTGGACCTGACGAACCAAACATGCAACACATAGATTTGCAGTTCTGCTGTTTCACTCAAACTTAAGGGCTGCCAATTCAGTTGTGCTTGCTTCTGAGAGCTTCTCCACACATCTTTAGGACTGCATCATACTGTCATGGCCTTGTCCAAACTAGGTTGCAAGGTCTTGTCTCATTGGTTTATCAATTTGTTGTCTGCCCTGTCCATGGTTCAGATCAGCTAACTTGGCAGTTCTTGTAAGCTAAATGAAACAAATCCTCTTCAGCACCATCAGAAAAGGGCGATCGCAGCTGGTCAATTCTAACACTTGTGCCTTCTGTTGCAGCTGCCAGAGACACTGCAGCAGAGCGGATTGGGGAAGTAGAATCCCCATTCACAAATCCACGAGTGTCGCTGATCAACAACTTCCTATACACAGCAGATGATCTGTACCATGCGCTGGTTACTATTGGCCAATCGGAGAAGCCACAGGTACATGTACAATATGGGCCTCTGGCCGCTTTGCGCTGCCTCTTACTTGTCACATGTTGCACACGGGCACTGATTTCAATGTTCAACTGCAGGTCAAGCTTCCCATCAATGAGTTGCGCGTTTTACCACCCGACTTTGCAGTGAGTGCAGTGACATCTGAGCCACCAGAGAGTGCTGCTCCCAGCTCAGGGGGTGGTGATACCACCAAACCAGCAGTAGAATTCGTTGATGAGAAGGTACAGCAACCATTGGGAGAGACTATGGTGAAAAGAATGATTGACGTCCCCTCTCTGAAAGCACTACGTGATATCTTGAAGGAGCTCAGCCCTCAAGAAAGACATGTGAGTTGTTCTTTGGATTTTGCTTGAAAGTTGGGTGTTCATCCCTTTTTGGCATGCATAACTATAAGATCTTCAATTGTATCATTGCCTGGTTGGCTCAGTTTGGTCGATTTGTGGTACACAAGGGAGCAGGGACATTGAGTCGAATTCCATGGATTCTTATGAATGGAATGGCCAATCACACACACCAGCAAGCTGATGCACTTGTCCTGTTGCACTGACTTTGCAGCTTGGTGTCGACGACTTGGTCTGCTCTTGGTTCAGTGACCAGCACCTTCAGCGCAGCAGGGAAATTGTGCTGGATGGCTGTGTACCAGACTGCTGGACACTTGCGCGGCATGGCCTACCAAATGCCAGCCGACCCAAAATCTGGAAATTGGCTCTGGGGTTTGGCGATGTAGTGGAAAGGTAGGGCAGATGTCATCAGTTGCAATTGCACCCCTGATTGTACAGTGGCAGCCTGTCTGCTGCCACTGGCAACAGAGTTATTGACATTACTTTCTGCTGTGCGCCCTCCATCATTTTTGGGATTGTTGGCAGGGACAAGCAGCATTTCGACGCTCTGTGCGAGATGGTCGAATCACAGGAACTCCTGACTGACCTCCTGGTGAGTGTTTTGCTTGAAACAATTTGATTGCCAATTCATGCCAACCAGCTGTTACAAGACAGCCTTTAGCTGAAGGAGGTTGCTGGAAGTGCATCAGTTCGCCAAGTCTGATACTCCTTATATCTGAGGCTCGTTCCCCCCAGATAGTGCATTTTGTGTGGTTACAAACCAATTGCGGGTGGTCTGAATCTACTGGATCTTGAGCCAATTGGAGCAACTGTTGCATTTGCTTTCATCGTTCTGTCGATCCACCACAGATAGAGAACACGAACTCATGTGAGTTTTAGTTTCACTTTGGGATTGGACACATACCCAGTTGGCGATCCTGTGTTGTTACATTCCCATCAGTCACGTGGTGCAATCATGTTTTTGTGCAACAGGTGGAACGAGATATTCAGCTCCTCGCCAACTCCCAACATTTTTTCCCGTTTGAAGAGACGTTGCGGTCTGTCTTGCTTGCGTTCACGCGTGACTCTTCAGTGACGTGCTCAATGGGCACAGAAGTTGTCACGGGCACAGGCGACAATGCAAAATACCCACCATCTGGGGTGCTGCCTTTCAAGGGGCTGGTGATGTATGCTGCACCGGTTTGCTATTTGTGCAAAGACCCAGCTGATGTGTATAGGGTGAGGATGGCACAGGCAAACCGCTCTTATGTTGCTGGGCAAGAATTGAGCACTGCAAGCAGTTTGTCTGGCAGTGCAAATTGCCAGACTGTTGGTGTCCAATGGTTGTTGAGCGAAGGGTAGGTTTGGCAGCTTCATATGCACATTGGGGGCATATTAAATGCTGATCGAAGTCGATGTGCTTCTGCTATGCTGGACCACTCATTGTCAGTGGCCAATCCTGCATTTGCACTGGGTGCCAAGGAACCGTGGTGTTGCAGAACTTGCCTTCCTACTTAGAATGTTGTCAGGTTGCTTCCAGCGGAACCTGTGATTCATGAAGCACTTGAACAGAGCTCCACAATTCAGATTGATTTGCCATTCTCAAGTACCATCGATTGTTGCTTGCAGGTGTTCAAGTCTATGTTCTGCCGCTTCTGGTGCAAGCTGGTAACATTGACAGTCGAAGGGTTGCCACGACCAACCCTGCCAGGACTGTGCAATGTGTTTGAGTCACTCTTGCAGGTCTGTTCCTTGCTGTGTGCCCTCCTTGATTCATGCCATCTGAGCATTCCACAAAGCAACAAAAGAATTCCCCAGTTTGCTGTGATAAATTGCGTTTGTCTTGTTGTAGTCATGAGGATCACCCTGCTTGAGCACAACGCTTTGCCATCTCCTCAGACCTCCAATTGTCCATGTAGTCCTGCGAAACTGCACTGTCATCAATAATCTTCTTGTCAGCCTTTCCTGCCATCGTGATAATGTTCTCCTCAGTCATGGTTGTTGGCGCTTGCAGGAAGTCGATCCTCAAGTTTTCCATCATTTGAACTCCTTGGGTTGCCCTGCCATGCAGCTAGCGTTCCCATGGATTAACAGTGCCTTTGTAGGATACCTTCCTGTTGAAGAATTGTTACTGCTGTGGGACCGGCTCTTTGGCTGGGACTCACTGTTGGTGCTACCAGTATTTGCAGTCGCCATCATCACATTCAGGTAAGCTGCCTGCCACGTGCCTCACCTCTTCAGGAAGTGCTTATGCCTCATCAGGAACAATGCCACCACTGTCTGCTGTGTGGAATGCTGGGACACTATTCCTGCCAACATGTCCGTGGCTTGTGAACAATAAGGAAAACTCATGAAGCTGCACCAAATTGGTGAATTTGGTGTCAGGCACAAGTTGCAAACGTCCGTACTGGGCAAAGTGTAACTCTGTTGCCACCTGCGCACATGGCCAGGAATGTCCTGATCCAGAGCACAGACATGATGCCTTGAGGCAATCCGATTGGCTACAATTACAAAGACATGATGCAGCAATGGGCTTTCAACTGCAAGGCGATGACAGACAATTGCACTGGCCAAGGTGGCAGAGCAGAACATACATGTCTAGCATAACTGCTGGTTGCTGTCAATGAGACGTTGATTGTCCCATCAATTCACTGATAGCTTTCCTCTAGACATCGCACACTGGTGTTGGCGGATGTCTGGGAGGCATCGCCACCATATGAGGGGCTGTTGTATTGTGCGATGACAGGAGGGAGCTGCTGTTGCATGCGGGCAGTGTGGAAGATATTGATGATGTGGTTGACGACTTCAGCCATATAAGAGTGGGACCATTGTTGCAGGCGCTATTAATCGAGGCACGATGACCATTTATGTGCCATCGCTGACAGGGACACTTGCTTGACAGATCAAATCTTGCAGGGAAGGAACTTCAGCTTATTGTTACCGAAATATTAGCAAAGCAGAAGGGCCCAAGATAGGTAAAACAATCATCATCACGCTAAGGGCATGCTGTGCTGGCGATGCTTGCGAAATTGAGAATACTTGAGTCTTCTGACCGCCTTTTCGATGTTATTCTCAATATGGTGGAAGGGGGCTTCAGATCGGCTACTGTCCTGGAATGGTGATTGATGCAGTAGAGCAGTGCTACTGCTGAGCTGGATGCACAGAACTGTAGGTTTTGCATTGCAGTCTTTGAATCATCCAGTGGACCACATTGAAATCCAGCATTTCAGGATGCAGGGATGGGTTGCAAGATAAACATTTGCGTGTGGAATCTCAGCAAGATGCTTGGCCTGGAACAAAGTGTGAGATCCCAAGGTTCCAATTCACATGGACAGCACAACATAAGAAATGCCACGTTACTTTACTCCTACGCATCACAGGAATTGGATGGATGCAACAGTTGCTACTATTGCCTTGAAATTTATGCCAGTCACTTCGTCTCTGAATGGAGTCAGTTTTGACACCTCTCACTCAGCGCATTCTTACTGGCAGGATAATGCCCTTGTTTCTGTCGCCTCATGTATGCACTGAAGGGTGTATTGGGTAAAAGTACAGTGGCTGGGCGACTGTCCAGAAGCAAAGGCATCGTAGCCAGTAAGAGAGACGTTGCAGCTGTCTTGGGACAATTGATCTCCATGCTGCCAAAGATGGGATTGACGAGCTTCTGATTAGGGAGACACAGATGGGTGCTGTACATGTGCCAGGTATTCTGAGGCACCAGAGGCAACATTTGTTTCTGGCAGCCAGTTTGCTGGTGACTTAGACATTTTGCTGCAATGGCTGGTTTGAACGTGCCCAAGGGACTTGGGCGCGCAAGGCATACATTCAAGGCTTGGCCTCAGGCTGGTCCACTCGCCAGCGAAGCTTCCCGCGGGCAGCCTCCTTGCTGAAGCAGGGCCCAGCGACCGCCACCTGTCTTTGTTTTGCTGGCGTGTGCCACCCCTTATAGTTTGGGCTCGAATGTTGGATCAAGTGAAGCATGATGCAGCGGGTTTTAATACACTTGCTCTCAAACCGCGGCCGCGAAGCGCTGAGTGAACAAAGATGACCGCCATGGGCATTGTTTGGCGATGGACACTGGGGTTGGAATGTGCAACTGTCCTTGGCCAGTGTGCGAGCCCGGGGTGAAGCGGAACCAACGAAGAGATTCAGTCGAGCAGTACGGCAGTACAGCAGCGCCACTGCATGACCCCCAAGGGTGAGAACCCACGCGCAGCTCCTTCTGTCCACCTCCCCGTCCGCTTACCTGGCGCCTGGTCACGGCCTCGTGTCGGTGGCAAAGTACTGGGTTGAGCCTGGGCCAAAAAGGCCGGCCCTCACACGTGGCGCTATGGTCTCAAAAGAGCGAGACGGCCAGCCCGGCCTTATCGCGAGGCGCGCGAACGGCGATGGCAGGGAGGGGTGCAAGAAACGAGGCGTCGGAGAGAGTGCCTCTTGTGAATGACGATGATGACGGCGATGTGGGACAGCCGTGCCGCGAATGCCCCCCGGAGGATCAAGAGTCGATCGCCAGCACCGTGTCCGAGGTTGTGGAGAGCGTGGGCATGGGGCGCTTTCAGGTCGCGCTGTTCTGCGCGATGGGGCTGTCCTGGATGGCGGAGTCCGCGAAGTTCGGCGCGGTGGCGCTGGTGGCCCCGATGGTGAGTTTGAGCCCGAGGGCGAGGCGGCGACGGAACAAGTTCATCGGACGGCGTTGGGCGCAGCACTCGTAGAAGTGTTTGATCAAAACACCGCGCGAGTTTTCTGAAGGGACGCCGAGCAGAGCACCAGGGGGGCGAAAGGACGGCTTCCTGCGCAGTCCACAGTCCGATTAGCTGTCGTCGACCTGTCCAATTCTGACAGTAATCTGTCACAGCTTCCACGGGCTGCTACGAGTGTGTACATATTCACTGGAGGTGTGTCTGGGAAAGAATGAGGGGGCTAGTCGGCCCATCAGGCAGCTGGTTCAAGCATTGAAGTTGTGTGGCCGGCGCAGTGCTAGCTTTGACAGGATGAGAGGCCTATCCAGAGTAATCCATATCTGCGTCAGGACGAAGCAACAGCAAATTGTGTTTACAATTCAGTTGCAACTCTCAACACTTTCCAGCAGAAGACGGTAATGTTCGAACAGTACTTCCCAACAGTGTAAGCACACAGCTGCCCACAGCTGCGTGTGCAGTCCACAGCTCAGAAATGCCAGGGTGGTTAAGGAAAATATCCAGTTTCGCAGTGAACGCTTGATTGAAGGATGAACTCCAGATTTGGAGACGCTGTCTGCAGATTGTCCTCAGCAAATTGACACAGAAGGGGAAGACATGGCGTGGATCTTGAGTGGCAGATTGAAGTGGGTAAATAGGTGAACGTCTTTGTTGCCTGAACAAACCTTGTGCTGCCTGGGGAGGAGCTCACAGGCTGCACCTGTATGTGGTTGTGTTTCGAATTGGGCGCTGAAGCAGGGTGCTGGGAGCAAACATCATGTTGCGCAACCTGAAGGTGTAGCCCAACACAATGGTCACCACTGCTTGATGCCTTGTGCCTGCTGTAGGTTGCCTGCGAGTGGAACCTTCCAGCTGTCCAGGAGAGCATGTTGACATCATTTGCATTCATAGGTGCAGCGATTGGCTGCTATGCTTTTGGCATGGTTGCTGATGTTCTGGGACGCAAGAGCACATACTGGTGTGTCTCCCTTTTGGGTGTCATTGGAAGCCTTGGGGCAGCAGGCTCTCCCACAACAGAGGTGAGCAAAGAGATCAAAATCAAACAGCTGATGGAAAGAACCAGGTACACCATGCTTGCTCAAATTTGGTGTGGCGGTCTGCCGCCATCAATGGCTACAGTTCAATTCAGTTGCTGGGGGCAGTGCTGTTGATTGCAATTGTCTTATGATATCGCCAAGTCTGTTGTCAGATGAAAAGTTTGGATGCCACAGCCATCATATTGCGATCATGTTAACCTGAGAGTTGATGGAAATAGTGTTCCTTGTGTTTTTGCAACCAAAGTTTGTGTGAATCATTGATCAGCTTGGACTGCAGTTTTTGTGGGATTTTGGAATGCAGCTATGGAATCTGCTATTTTAGATTTCTCTGTCATATGCTCTGTTGTGTCCTGTCTGCAGTGGCTGGGGTTTTGCTTTTTCTTGCTCGGGCTTGTCGTCGGTGGCATCAACGTGGGCCCGGTGTATCTCATCGAATACATGCCAATAGCACAGCGTGGCCGGTGGGGTGCATTTCTTGCAATGCCATGGGCCTTGGGAATGGTTGGTGGTGCCGGCATTGCTTGGTTCGCGGTGCCATGGGCTGGGTGGAGAGCATATCTGGCAATGTTGAACATACCTTATGGTGAGGCCACAGCAGGCTCAAAATGTTGTGCATTGTGTTCTTCCATGAATATGCAAATGACTGCTTTGTTGATATGTGACATGTGTCTGTGCTTTCTCTGCCTGACAGAGCACAACTCGGTGGTGTCCATTCTGAAGTTGTGGTTCACTTGATTGCAGATGAATTCCATCTATTGCAGCTATATATTTGGTCAAAGCATATATTGACTTGGAAGGTTGTCTTGCTGTGCAGTGGGGGTGTTCGCTTTGCTGCCTTTTTTCCCCGAGTCTGCACACTTCCTTGTGGTGGCTGGCAAGCCTTTGAAAGCAATGGCAGCATTGAAACGAATGGCTAAGATTAACAGAGTGAAATTGGGGAGCACAGTAGTACTGCTGGCAGAGGAAGGAGGGGAAAGCACTGATGACGCCTCACTGTGTCTTCTTGTTAAACAAGGACTTGGTGGTCTTGCAAGGTACCTTGCAAGAAATGAAGCACAAGTGCACTTGCATATAGTTCACATGAGAATGGTCCTATGCCTTTCATGTGTGTGTATGTGTGTGGTTCATGTTTGGACACTATCTCAGTTATCCCCAAAACAAGTGTGATGCGCTGGTGGATGTCTCAAAGATGTTTCCATGCAGGTGCTGGCTACTGTGCCTGGAATTTGCAGCGTTTGTCCTGCAGACTGGAGCATCCGACCCCAATGTGTGGGATGAGATGCCTCACTTTTGCAGACACCATATGATGTGTTCTTGTTAAGTCACAGTTATGGTGCAAAGCATTTCTTGTGTATCTCTGTGGACTATTGGGCGATTCTGCCAAAATGGGGGTGGCAAGCAGTACCCACTATCCCACTGTGTCCTGATGAATATTTTTAACATGGACAGCCCATTTTTTGGCGACGCAGTTGACGCCAGCGCCAATGAACTGTTTGTGCAAGGTGAATTCTCAAAATTGAAGCACACACCAGCTTTTGGTCATGCTGTGGCCTCTGCTGCATAGCAACCATTTTATCAAATCATTCTCGTAGTGCCGGCAGCAGTGGCTGCAGCAGAGTGGCAGCAGCAGCAGCGGTATCAGCAGCTGCAGCAGCTAAACCCACGGCGTGCACAAAATTTTCAAGAATTTTTTTCTGATCATCTGTGGATTGCAAACCGTTGCTCCTTCAACCGCAAGGCAACGAATGTTCGTCACGATCACTTTTTCATTCTGCGGTGTTGATATGTGTGCCGTATGGATCCTGTTCAGGCTGTTGTCAAGAACCTTGTGGTGGACAACTTTGACATCGGTGTCAATGGCCGTTGCTGAGATCTTCACATACAATTCATTGCTGCTGCTCAACACTCAAATACATGCTGAGGCCGTGGGAACTTGCGAAAGTAGGCACTTCAGGCTTTCTGAACAGGCCTACGTGGACATGATGATAGTGTCATCTGCGGACGTCATCGGCAACCTCCTTGGCATTGCAATGATTGAGTGGATAGGAAGGAAATGGTAGGCACGAGCGCACCAGTCTTTTCACCATGCTGCAGAGCCTATTCGGACCAATAGCACCCTGGCCGAGAGTTGACCTCTTGCTTTCGCCTGCCGTCTGTGCCATGCAACAATACTGGCATGCAAAGCCCCTCCAGCCTTGCGATGTCTGTGGTCGGACAGGTTGATTCACGTTTCACATTTTTTGTGACAGCACAATTGTGTCGCAACTGCACTCGCGTTTTGGTCATTTGGTTGGTTTGTGTGCAGGTCGCTGACGACGCAATTTATCGGGAGCGCTGTGGCCCTTGTGCCGCTGCTCATTGCACCGCACATTGAGCCTACAGTATTCCTCTTCATGTCACGGGCGGTTGTCCTGGCGTCTTACTCCATCTTGGTGGTGTACATTCCTGAGTTGTATAGCACGGGCGTACGTACACAGGCGCTGGGGCTGGCTGTGCTGATGGGAAGCGTGGCCAGTTTGCTCACACCTTTTGTGGCACAGGTGACCCAATTGAATACTTGTGTTGATGTATTCTTTCAAGCCGCCTTGTCACTAAGTCGCTCGTGTTTCGACGAGGTTGACTTTCCCTCATGAGGACATTGCGCGCAATGCATTTGTGCCCCCAGCCCATTGTACTGTCAAATCCTACCAGGATGGCAGCTGGAACTGAAATGTTGCCTTCACAGAGACAACCAAGGGGCGTTGCGTGCAGAAGATGGGGCAGCGGATGGGAATGTGGACGTCTAAATTCTCCCTTCGGTCATTGTTACATAAGAAGCAGCAGTCCACAGCAACAGCCAGGTTCCTCATAGCGTGTCTATCGCCTTGACGACGCAGATGCTGTTGGCGTGACTGGAGGATTCATGGCACCAGTGGCGACCAACATGTCTTGTTCAATGACCATGCTCCGACTGTGTCTCACAAACCCTACTGCGCAACTCGGGTAGCGTTGTAGGGACGCATATTTGTGCAAACGACGCGTATCTGAAACAAGAGCACCTGGCAGATGACAGAGGCGGTATGGTGGCAAGCTTGAAGCTTTCGGCCTTTCATCCACATAATTTGGATGAAAGGCTGCAATGCCACATCGCCGTTTGGTCAGCTGAGGTTGTTAGGATTCCATTAGATTGGAGGAGCGGATTTCTGGGCTCACATCCCCAAATTAGACTCATCTGTCTTGACCTGACCATGACAGCGACGAACTTTGGACCTGGAAATATTGACAAGCTCCAGAATGTGCGGAGGACGCCAGCGCCCGCCTGTGGCGGAGTGTGGCTCAGTGCACCTTGTGGCAGCTTGTTCGGCAGTGCGTGTGTTGCCAGTGGGGATTGCAAATGCTCCTTGCTTGTCACGCAACAGGGTCTACTACAACAGCACGGGCTGCGGTCAGCGCTGGGCGTCATTTGCACTGTGCTGGTGGCGGGAGGCGTGTCCGCGCTTTGCAGCCCAAGGGAGACCATTGGCGAAGCTCTCCAAGACGCTACGGAATCGAGGCGAAAATTGAGCTGGAGTCCCATTCAGGATTGAAAATTAGCGTAGGCGGGGCAATTGTTTGAGATTCGAGAGATGGTCGACAGCGGTTTAAATAAGAGCAGCGCGTCGAAGTGTGGGACCATTGGAACAACAGTGTTGAGACCAGTGTGGGGAAACTGCGCGGACACGCGCACACATGGCACACATGCGTGCAGCCCGAATCCGATTTCAATGTTCCTGGGGTCGTTGGCTTGTCCTTCGGCGTATCGACCCTTTCAAATTTTGGACTTGCAACGAAAAATCTGTCTCGTGCAATTTTGCCTGGGAGACCATGGAAAATTTTTGGTGGCCATCAGGGCGGGTCACCACAGGAAACTTCGCAGCTTGTACCCGCTGTTTTGTGAAGGCCTTGTTGATTGCGTGATTGCGTTTTGAATATGTGGATTGGCTCCCTTTCCCACATGTTTTAGATGCTGCTGTTTCTGACGCAGGTGTTTCTGTGTCAGTCGACACACGGGCCTGTCGACATCCTATTGAATGGCGGTGAACGGGTCTGTACCTTTCATAGCGTCACCCCAATGACCGTGATGGATTACAATAGACAACCAGATCGCGGTGGTTTTCCCTGCCAGTTTCCCGGAGTACCAACAACACTCAACAAGCAGCAAACACGATCGCCCTGGCGTGCAGCGTCAATTCTTCTCGCGGCATCGCGGAAGTGCTCCAGCCATGACCACGGGCGTGTTTGAGTCCAAGTCCTCTGCATCCCCACTCGATTGACGGGCGATGTGGTCGCTGCACGTCTGGTAACATGTTGCCCCCCCAGCAGGCCCAGATCCCAGGCGGCGGACATAAAGGTTGGCTATCTGCTGGCCAAGTCCATTCCTGGCTGGCCACCCCTGAGCCGTGCTGGGGAACATCTGCATTGCACTGCAACCGTCGGCAAAGGGCAGACCCGGATATAGAGTGTGAGCTCTGGAATCCATCTCATTGCCGACCAGCAATGTGCGCGCTGTGCGAAGAGCATCACCACAACCGCAAGTGAACAGTTGAAGCCACACCCCACCAGCACATCGGCAGCGTCCCCAAAACTGAACCTCTGCAAGCCCGTGGCAATTTCACACGGCAATTCGGTGAACACGGATCCGATTGGCGACACAGAAAGTACGCAGCTTTTCCACCCTAATCTCTCGGTTACTCCCTACCTCCAAGAAATCGCCCCAATAAACTCATATGGCACATACCCGTCGCCTCCCCTCCTTTCACCACACTCGTTCGCCGCTCCCTCTTCCTCTACTTCGTTCTCATATCTCTGCACCCACAACGCCACTGTTCTTCCTTGCATGCTGCTCCAGCACTTGCACGACCTTGGGATAGACGAGGGTGTGCGCATTCATGCCCCATGTGAAGTCAAGGTGTGCATATGACGGCTCCTCGTGATGCAAAAGGACTAAATCGTCTGGCAGGATATCCAGTAACAGCTGGACATCTGACTGATCGGCCAGTATGTCTTTGCCTCCTGAGAAAATCGCAACAGGGACCCGCAACTCGCTGATGTTGTAAGCCGGGGGTGTTGCCATACCATACACGTCCTCATTGCACAACCTCCCCTTGTGGCAATTTCCACCGAAATCGTACTCCTGCAGAACACTGGCGTTGTGGTTTTGAATGCACTGCGTCCAGTGGATCATGTTGGCCACACTGGTCCCTGCGGGCGAGATTGAAAGGTACGTCGGCCATCTGGTGTTGTTGATATTGGCGGCATTGTAGCCGCACAGTAGAGTTACAATGTTCCTGCACGGCGAGCCGGACGCCTTGCAGAGTTCCTCGATTATCTTTGGGTTGGATGAAGGCAAAAACTCCCTTATGCCCAGTATTTCCAAGGCGCTGGCAATATCGAGACCGGCGAGCCAGCGCAGCACAGAGCTGCCCGTGTGCGTCAGAAACGCCACAGGTGCCAGCATCGCTGCGACAGAAACCCTGTGAGCCATATCCACGTCTTGGGAGAAAGCACCAAACCCAATTGTCGTGCCTTGGCTGTGCCCGACAAACCCAATCGTCTCCACATTGGTTACGTCCAGTATGTGTCGCATCACTGCTGGAAGGTCGACATACGCCATTTCATCAAACGTAAACTGCCAGAATGCATCCTCGCAGGGGTTCAAAGTCCTGTGACGCAAGCTGTAGGTGTTGCCACGGGAGTTGGCCAACCAGACATCAAAGCCACGATCGGCAAGTATGAATCCGAGGCTCTCATTGGCCCCATTGCAAACCCAACTTGCGCTGCAGTCCAAGAGGCCGTGCTGGAGCAGAACTACTGGTTTCCCAGTCTCCATCGCTTTTTCTTCAAAGGCCACATCCATAGTTTCCAATTCAACAGTGCTTGGGATGCGACCGTGAGGTATCCTGTAGAGACCCAATATGTAACCGTCAGGGGTAGCCACAAAGTGCTCCTCAAGTGGATAGCCCTCCTTCACCACCAGACCAGTCATGTCCTGTGGAGCCTGCATCTCCTTGCACTGAAGATCATTCGAGTACTCAGACGTGCCTTTGGATCCAGTGTTTTCTGGCAGCGACTGGCAGGCGGTGTTTGCAAAAGTGAGCAACCCCACAATCGCAGTCAAGGAGAAGGTGCTGAGCCGAAGCAGTGGTTGCACCATATCTGGAACAGACAAACAAGCCTGTGACATGCATTCCTGTTGATTGGTTGAACTCCTTTCTAGATTCCATAGGTCACACTTTCTATTCAAAGGAGCAATTCAAAGATGCCACAAAGCCAGAGGAATCAATGTCACAGTCCCAACTGACGATAGTTCTGTTTCAGTTGCCATATATTCCAGTTTGGCTGCTGTGCCAAAGGCCCAGAATACACGAGTGGGTCTGCGCACAGGGAAAGCGTCCTCCAGAAGTGAGGCGAGGATGCCGTCATCATTCAGTAAGTAGTGTGTGTGTGATCACCACACCAACTATAGTATCCAATGCCCACTTGCTTTAGAACAGAAATGGAATATATTCCTGGTGCCAATTTTGATCCAAACAGATTTTGCACTAGAGACCCAACAGGCAACAGGCGCCCCCTTTCTCCCAGGGCAGCCTGGAGCTGCTGACAGCACAACGATGTGCCTTCATTCCAAGGTGTAGTGCCGCCAATGAATACATGATGTTGAGGTTGACCTGATATCGTGACACAAACGGCTACGCACGGGAGTCAGAGCGCTTACTCGCGGGACTGAGTGTTTTGAGAGTTTTGAGTGTTTGCGTGCCCGTGCAGCTCTGGCACTTAGCCCAGTTGCTTGGTAAAAAAACTCGTGTTCTTTCCCTGATTGCGATTCTGCTGTAGCATAAGCATACAACACCAAGGACAGCAGTATTTGATGGAAAGGAACGTTATCGCACCTTTGCAATGCCTAGGCGCGCGTCTTTTAACAGGAGCCTGGTGTCAAAGCCATTTGCGCAGCTGTTAGCGGAACACTTTCACAAGGTTGTATGGTACGGCAGACAAGTCAATCCAGATTTAGAAAACCCGATGTGATGGACAAATCCTGGGGTCTACGCTCCTGGCGATCTCCTGAAAACCCGGAGTCGTCGTGATGGCACCTGTAGGTGATGTTGACACTGAACTGAAGACATACACGCAGGCACGAAAGAACGGAGATCAAGCATCCGGCGCGTCACACCTGAAGCCTATGACGCCCAAACAACTTTCAATCAACAAACAGCGACCGAAATCTAAAATTCGTCGCAAGTCCTTGCGCTTCCGGGGTTCATGCGGGGGAGATGGCCGCCTTGTCGACTGGGGACGTCGGGGGTGCATCGCAACCTCCGAAACGCGCACGGCCCAAAGAAGAACGGGCCCTGGCCACAGAGTAATGCTAATGCGCGTAGCTCCGAGGGCGCAAGCAGAAAGAAACGCCGCCACAGGCGACAGCCCAACTGAGATCATCTCGCTGCAGCAACCCCAGGGCGTCGTCGACCGCGACAGCGCAACGGCGCCGGCCCCCAAGCAGCGCGTTTGTGCGTGGCCTCGAACGCTGTACCTGTGAAACGCGCGGCCTTTCCAGCCAAGCACGGGCGCGATCCGCCAACCTTCGCCACCCAGCTCCTGTTCCGTGCTTACTTTCAGCCTTTCGGCAAGGGGGCCAACCGACCTAGACCTTCTCCAGTTTCCAAAAGGCCCGACCTGGTCGGAAGCGCAAAGCGCGAATCCCACGACCGCGTGGCCTGACGTGGCTGCCAGTCGAGCACCAGATTCTGTCCCAATGGCCTTGCCTTGGGGACCGCCCCGCTCGCTCCGAGCACACGCCACATCTGGTCGACGACACGATCAGCGAACGGGCCAACCGAGTCGGGCAAACGTCGCCAAAGGGCCCGGGCAGCTCGCGGGTTTGCGCTGGCTCCCGACTTCCACCACCATTCCTTCCTTGCCAACGCCGGGGCGCCACCGTCATCCCCTCTTCCCGCTTCACAATGAGCGCCATTCCGAGAATTGCACCGGCAGCAGGATGTCTAGCGGACAGCGGCGCATGCGGGGGGATCCACAGGGCGCCGCGCGCCTGCGGCCCCCTTGCCGCGGGCCTTGCTCCCGGCCCGGGGCCATCCCGTTCCAGGAGGGGCGCCAGAAGGGAGCGCATTGCCGCGAGCGGCCCCGGCGACAGCGACGACCTGGAAGGCAACTTCGACGAGGCCGTGGACATCGACAGCCTCGCCAGGAGGCTCAGCGAGGAGGCCGCGGAGAGGCTGCGCCAGAAGGGAGCGTCTGGTGGCCCGCTGGACGACACGTCCTCAATGGGGATTCAAGATTTCTCCAGTTATGGGCCCGTTGACTATGGTCGGGACGGCGCAGCTGGCGTCACGGACGGGGCTGGAGGGTCGCAATCCGAGGTGGGGACAGAATTTAGCCGTGGTGTGTATCCGCTTGCAGTAAGGGGGAACCATGCCTGTGTGGCCTGTGCACTTGCGCTTCTTGCTTGTATGGATCGTTTGGATGCAGGCACGGCCATTTGTGGCGTCGGGAAAACAGTTGCGCAGAAACGCGTGCTTTTGCCTGCAGATGCGGTTTTTCTGTGGTCGCGATTAATGGCCTGACAACGTCCGCTGCTTGGGCTGCCGGTCGCGCTTGGAACGTGGCACGTGATTCTAGTCTGTCAAGCACGTGCACATTGCAGAACTCTGAGCACTGTAGTTTTGGAATGAATAGAGGAATTGCATGATACGGAATTCGGGGTGTACAGTAATTTGAGCATTATCTCGTGACTCTTTGCCAGGTCAACCGCTGTGAATCAAAGAATGAATATTGCTTCTATTGATTCCTGGTTTGCCTCACTGATTTTTAGGTCAACAGACAAGGCCCAGCCACAAGAATTCCAACCATGAAAACAAAAAACACCGCCTGATTTTGTTCGTGGTGTCGCAGAGGGAGGGAATACTGCTTGGGAACTCAAGAAGGGGCATTGCTGTGCTGTTGTTGGAGAGGCTTAGCAAAATATTTGACTGCCCTTGCTTTTGTCCCCAGCAGGCAGAGACTTTTCCTGAAATGAATGATGAACAGTTTGGCGCGGAAGATTTTGAGCTGTCCGACTTGCTTGGGTACCTCAGCGTCAAGCAGGTATGGAATCACAGAAGCTTGGTGAATTGCCAGACATTCCAATCCCTTCAATACTGCTCATCCTGAAGTGCACATATTACCTTTGCAAGTTGCAAGCCCCTCCATCTATTGTGCTTTCACCTGAACGCAGCCTTGATGATCATGAAGATATTGGCAATTTAGTGCGTTCAGCCAATCAACCTGTCCTTACATTGAGAACAGCGACTGCCGACTTCAGCCTTCCTGTGGTTGCTTACGGCATTTGCAGATGTCGCGGGAGTTCCTGTTGGGGTCCTCAGAGTCAGCAAGCTCAACTGAGGAGACGGCAGTTATTGCTTATGTTGCCAAGTACTTTGGACGGGGTCCATACCAGTACCCAGTGCGGACACTGCTGAAGGAGTATCTGCCTTGCGCAGACAACTACGCCAGGAATGAGGTGCAGACACTGCAGCATCTCTGCGGCTTGCCTGAGAGCAAGTGGAAGGTGGGCTGTCCACATTTTGTCAGTTCGTCCATTGCAAAGCCACGATTTCTATATCATGAAGTCTGCACATGTCAGCAACTTGTCATGCCTGCCAACTAAACCAGAGGTTTCAGTGCACGACAGTAAATAGCACATGTCCCAGTGCTGTCTTTCAACCAGTGCAGTTCCCGTTCCCTTACACTGTCCTTGCAAACGTTGCTCACAAACATTGAACACAGTGAAGGAAACTTGCAAATAACTAAATTGTCAAGTGAGAAACTGGTTGCACAACAGTGGCTTCCGTGCAAAAGTATTTGAAACACATGTGTGTGCTCCTGCTGCTTGCATGGCACTGTTCAAGCTCACTTGCCATTTGCCGACCGTTGTGTCTATGGTGCAGGCCGCCTTTGACCCCATGAACCCAGATCCCCCTGTTGTACCCCTTCTTGGGTACTTCACATCAGCCCCCAGCGAACTCGCTCTTGACCAGTGTCCACAGTCTACAGAGAGAAGTTTGTGGCTGGTATACAAGTGGGAGGCGCTTAAGCCTTTGAGCTGGTACTGGGAGAGGGAACAGCCCAAATCGGAGTGGGGTTGGCCATGGAGAAATGCGGAGCAGGATGCAGCAGCAGCCAAACGGAAGATGCTCAGGTGAGGGTTTGTGCTGATGCGCTGCACCCTTCCTGGTGTGCCCTGATTTTGTGTGAACATGTTTTTCCCTGCAGTAAAACACTGTCCCTGCTTTGGCAAGGCAATGACAGGCAACTGATGCATTCTCATTGTGTGGGCTCAGATCCCAGTTGCCCGGTTTGCAGTGATGGTGCACAGTGCTCAACTGACCAGCTGGTTGTTTGGTGTATTGCTGGCCAAGACGTGTGTGTGCTCTTGATGGAAGTTTGGGGGTGTTGAGAGGGATGGTGAGTGGACAAAAATCGATGGGACATGTTGAAACAGCAGAATTAATTTGTATGCTGTTTGGCACAAGCACAGCAAAGAAAGGAACATAACCAGCACCATTGGAATAGGAAAAAAATATGTGCAGCCGGAAGAGTGCTAATGACCACTTGTGAGACCAACAGATGATCATTTGTTTCCTCTTCAAACTGGTGCGACTCACGTTGGCAGGAGGAACGCCCACCCACAGAGAGAGAGGGCAGAGGGATTATGTGCTATGCATGCTGTGCTGTGGGCATTGGCCAGTCTTCCGGGACTCATCCAGTCCTGTTTTTGTCTCAGGGCTATTTTTCGCGGTGTCATCTATGCACTTTGGTTCTGCCACAAGGGTGATGTGGTTCACGGCTCCCTTGGGTCAGGTTCAGTACAGATCAGTTCCCTTGACGACCGCGATGCAGACAGCCTGGTGGTCAAGTTGGACAACTTTGGGCTGTCAAGGAGGCTGGAACGCCAGGGTAGGCAATGGCCAGCCTGGGGAACGCATTTTGCTTAAATGCGTATGTCCTTTGACGAGCATGATGAAGCGGTGAAGTTGCTACAGTCTTATTATTGGAGAATGTGTGGCAAAAAGGCAACTGGACAGGGTGTGAGTCATGGTAATCGGTTTGCATATGTAGGACTTGTTTGTAGGAAATCTTCAATTGTCTGATCCCTGCACCTGGGGGTTTGCATGCAACAATGGGACAAAAATGGGACAGTGGGACAGTGAGGGAAAAAATGCTGCACCACAAACAAAATTTCCCTCGATATCTGCAAATAGTTTCCAGTCAACTGTAACATGGTCTAGGGTGCTCAGCCAGAATGGGGCCCAATCCGATCATGTTGACCTTGAACTTCAGAAGAGTCCAAAGGAAATCCACTTCAACCCTGTTTTGTCACTCCTGATGATGGCATATTTTTGTGAGGAAGGGGCCAGTGCACTGTGAGCATGTTGAGAGTCGAAAGGGTGTGAGCAATGGTTTTATGCACTAATTTTTGCTGATATATTTTCGTCCTTGTCTTGTTGATGATGGGCATCTGCTGCAAGATGGGAAGGTATCAAATCAAACCACTGTGTAGCATAGGCAGATGTGGTGGTGGTATCTTAGAACAGGCCTTTGTCAGCACAAAGTGTGGTACATGAGTTCATGAAATCCGAAGTCAGCAAACAACCTCGTTGCAACATGTGCAGCTGGATATTGTGTCGGCTGGAGATGTGTGTCCATCCAGGCTGAATGCAATCTGTCAGTTACCAGTGGAAATGGTTCCCTGTCCAAGTGAGCACCCCATTGCATCCTGTGCAGGCTCTGTTGATGTGCAAGACGACCCTATTGCGCTTGGGAAGCAGGAAGATCTTTGGGCTGTGGGAAGGCTCTTCTTGGAGACAGTGATTGCCACATGTGGAGATGGCCAATCTCCTTGCCCAGTTTCCAGGGAGTCTGTCGAACGGCTCACAACAGATATATTTCCTGGCGATTTTGAGGGTCTCAGGTGTGTGTGTTTGTTGTCTCAGTTGGCTGTGTAGGCAGTGTCAACGCTGGTCGTTGTTGTGTATGATGCCTTGTTGGTGGTCATGAGGGGCTTATGTATTTCCTTTGTAGTTTTGCTCACTTGGTGCCAAAGCGTTCTAATTTTCTTAAGTGTCCCAGAAGAGAGCTAGTGCTGTTTTCAAAATGATATTCTCTCTCTATTGAATGGACCATGTAGTTCTGACTGCATGGAACCCCATCAAGTAGTTTGTGTGTAATTTGCTGATAACACTGTTGCTGCCCTGTCAATTGTGTATGCACAGAAGTTACTGCTGTGAGGATCCGGACTGGAGCGATGCTGTGGAGATCCTGGGTGAGCGTGACAATGCTGGTTGGGACTTGCTGTCAAAGCTCTGGGATGGTAAAGCACCCTGTGAAGAGTTGTTGAAGGAGAAATTCTTGAAGGCAACATAGAGCAGACCACTCAAAGGTGTGCATACAGAGGTTTGTGGCTGTTGTGCGATGTGATGAAACCAATCGTGGCGAATAGTGGAGCGGAAAATGCACAATCTGTGGTTGTGTGACGTGGATGTTAGCTGGTGCTTCAACGTAATTACAGTTTAGACACATTTTGTGGACCATTGCGCCAACTGGGATGCCTCTACTCATGTCTACACAATGAGACGCATTTGCCGATCCACTGGTTGAATTGGTGCAAAATAGCCCCGCATGGCCAAGCAAATGAATAGACAAGCTTGCTCATCAGAGAGATGATATTGTATGGTTTAGTCAGCTTGCAGCATTGGTGGCAGCATTATGACAGAGTTGCCGATCTATTGTGTGGGGCTGCTTTGTTATTTGAAATGGATCTATGCAGCAAAGAAATGGAGCGGACTATGCAGCAAAGCCTACAGTGGACTGCAGTGATGCACCCGAGACAGAAAATTGAACCAGGGGGTAGGGGATGGAAGCAAGTGCAGGATGAAGGGGGGCCTTTGAGTTAGTTTGTGGGAGACAGCAGCAGCGAGAGTACTTTGGTTAAGACAAGTTGCTGGATCTTTTGGTGCAAATGGCACTTTACTTATAGCAGTATGTGAAGAGGTTTCGTTCTGAGCAGATGGGTTTTCCAATCAGTGGCAATAGTTAGTGGAATAAATGCTTATCTCTCTGCATTGCACGGACATCATGTTCCACGTGACAGGACGCAGAGCTTGGGGTTTTCATTGTACTATTGCTCAGTGCTGCATGATGATACACAACCTATGCTGGTGCCAAAGACAACGAGATTGCAAAGAATCCAAACAACTCCTGCACAGACGTGAGTGCTGAACAACTTCCTCACGGGTATTGAACTCAGGCTGAGAAGAATCGTGAGATACTTCACACATGTTACCACCTTGGCACCGCAAGCAGGCGTGGTGCTTCCGATATCCCCACAAGATTTGTCGCGCAGTTCATCCCAAGCCCTTGAGGCCCAATAGCCCAATTTCCCAAAAACAGCCCCAGCCAGATATCACGTCTCGCATCCACTCCTTCTCTCGACCATGTAACAACGAGCAGCGGATGCACAGCTGGCGCCGCAGCGGTTGTTGCGCACGGCCTCTGACGTCGAGCAATGTATGCCCAGGTTGTCTATATCATCTTTTTCACAGCATGGAATATAGCCTCGCATGAACTTGCCCAGGAGGGGGTGCCCACTGTGTGACCCGTTTCTCTTTCTTTTTATTAACAAATCTTGCCCAGGGTATCGCTGTCCTAGCGTGCGTCCCTGAATAGTTCCAGATTCCAGACATCACCCCTTGTGGGTGGGCAATGCACGCCCAGCGTGTCGTTAATCCCTCGTGCGTCTCGTGAATATTTTCTTATTGCGCACCCAGCGGCGCAAGCGGAACCGAGTCCAGTGGCGGGGCCCCAGGGCCCGCCGCGCTCCACGGTCCGCGCGACTTGAACCGCCAGGCCGCGTCCGCCCGCCATGCAGGCGGGGCTCGGCGGCGGCCACGAGGCGCGATGGCGACCTGACTCATGCCCGCGAGGGGTTTGTACAGCGGCGCAATCTCGGCCACAGATACGGGCGGGCCCAAAGTACCAGCGCGGAGCAGGCCTCACGCTAACGTCACGTCCAACGCCACTACCTCGGACGGGCCCGCCGGCCCACCCGTCTCACCGCGACCGCCCGCGATGGCAGGCCCACGGCCGCCTTAATCCCATTACGCGGGCCCGCACCCACCAGGAAAAAAACAAAGGGCTTGCCAGCATGGCGCCCTGCCCCGCTGCAAGTACTCCCCCGCCTGCCCACGAGACTTTCGGGCCTGATTTTGTTCGGGGCTGCCGCCGCTGCGCGGGCTGCACAGCGCTGACTCCCACCGGAGGGAGCCTACGACGCCGGGGCACGCACCCGCCAGCGCCCGCCGCGTGGCCTGCCCGTCGCCCTCCCGGCGCATGACTCACGGCCAGGCGCCCAGCGATGCTCGGCTAGCGACCCGCGCGCCATCTTATGGGGTGTCTATATAGCAAGGAGGGCCAGTCACCCCCGGACGCCGAGCCAGGGTAAGGGGCGCGCCGGATGGCATCGAAGCCTTCGCTGGGGAGTGCGTGTGCGTGTGCGTGTGGGAAGGGTGGGTGTGCTCAGGGCGATGCGCTTGAAGCACGGCGCCGTTGGGGTTGCCCGTGCGGATGGCAGCTGCCAGGCGATCGCTCCGGGGGGGGTGGGGCGCAGTCGGGGACGGCGCATGGGGCGGGGAGGAGCGTCCCTGGCCGAGCGCCCCGGGATTCGCGGCGTGGTGGCGGGCATGACGGCCTGCGGGCCGGCCCACCCCGCGGAGTAGAGCTGAGAGAGGCGCCCGTCGACACGAGCGGTTCTCGCTCGCGCCGTCGCGCGCGCGCATCAGGTTGCCGGATTCCCGCCCGCTCCGGCCGCTGGGCCGCTCGAGCGGCACGCGGCCTGGCTGATTGGTGCCGCGAGGCTCTGCCGGAGGCCTGCGGGAAGATACGGTAGACGATGAGGCGTGGGGTCGGCGCAGGCCGGACGTCCGGCCCCACGCGATGGGCGCGCCAGGCTGTCGAAGGCGCCGCAGCCCCCGGGCTTGGGCGGCCGCCGCTGCCGCTGTTGACGCCATTCTGTGTGCCCCCCGCCCGTGTGCCTTGCAGTCCGTCCTATGGGCCCCCGAAGCCCGGCGCCCAGCATGCCTACCTGCACGGCCAGCCGGGGGCGCTGGGCACTCCCAAGAGCGCCAGCCATCACAGCGCCCACGGCGGCAAGCCCCTGCCGCGGCCTGTGCAGCCCGCGGGCGAGCAGTACCGGAGACCGAGGAGCTCGGTGTCGGAAGGTGAGGGCCCCCCGCATGCGCGGTGCGTGCTCAGTCGAGTGCCGCCCTCTGTGCGGGCTGACAGGCCCGCCGCCCGCCGCCCACGCTCCGCTCTGATCGCCCGTCCGGCACGGAGCGCGGGGCGCGGCAGGTGCCAGCGCATTGCGCCCGTCTGATGTCCTGCTTCTGCTGAGCCCCTTTGTTTTTGAGGGCTTCGGTGGACTGGGCTGCTGCGGCGCGAGCCCGCGTGCATACCCACTAGCGCAAATCCTCGCGGCGCGGCGTCACAGTACCTTGGCCGTCTCCTTTGCGTCCAGGTCAGTGGAGCGGCCGGCTCAAGAACCGACCTTCGCAGGAACCCCTGAAGCACATCAGCGACAGTGCAGAGGACGGCGACTGGGACAATTGCGAGACCGTGTTCAACCTAGATGACGTCGAGGAGGCGCAGATTGGTGGTACGAGACTCGTGGCTGGTGTCCCTATCTGTTCCAAGCATACTGGCTGCAGCTTGCGACGGGATAGTGTTCAACCAGGGCTGTGCAGATGTCTTGCAACTTTTGAACTTGCTCCCGTTTATTTGCCTCTTGTTTGTGAATGCCTGAGCCGCGTAGCTGCCACAAAGAGGTGCGAATCAAGGTACCTGAATCACACTGTTCTTTGTGGTTTGGTGTGGATCGTGTTGTGTGCAACACAATTGGCAGCAGCACAGCAAAGGAATGAGTTTTGTGCAGCCTGTAGCCACCGAAAGATACACTCAAATATTGTCAGCTTACCCACTGATCACACAGTGGCCTTCAGGCCACACCATTGCCGGGGTGGTGGCTGTGTGGGCTTCTGTGTGCTGACCAACCTCTGCTTCGGAATTGTTGCCGACAAAAGACAATTACCATATGTCTCTATTGCCAATTTAGTTGCTATGTTCAAAACTTTCTGCTCGTCTTCAGCTGCGATCAGTGGCACATCATCTGCACGAGGCCATACCATCTCTTGGTAGAACTGTGAACATTTCTTGCATTTTTCATTTCCCACCCAACGATGCTGTCTGTCTGTTTTACTTTCAAACCGACGTGTAGCATGTGAGACAGTTTTGTGTTGCTTCAGTGGACCCATCTCAAGTTGACACACAGGGCAGCAGTGTTGTTGACAAGGCCTTCCAGAATTCCTTATTAGGCGCAAAGAACAAAGCAGGCCTTGATGACCCCCCAACGACGAATTACAGGTGGGGGATATGTCCATTGGCAAGTAGCCCATATGCTGGCCCCGCAGAGACTGATTGCCAAAATCTGAGCTTGCTTGCTTGCCTGCTGCAATGCTCTTGTAGCTGCCACCAGATGTTGTAAACTTGCATGACACAAGTGCAGTTGCTTCTGAGGATGTCCGCAGTGGCTGAGTCCAGTAAGCAGGCGAACATATTCTCTTCAGGGCCATGGATGTTAATGGATGATTGTGAAGACGCAGATTAACGATCAGTTTTGCTGCTGTGGTGCAGGGAAACTCCACTACTGCGGATAGAGAAAGTGAAAGGGTGTATGTTTGTAAACCAGTACTTGGTGGTGAAATACCTTGGCCGTGGAGCTTGCGGAAAGGTGTTCCTCTGCTTGAATGTGCAGGACTCCAGGCTGTATGCCATGAAGGTAATGCTCACTCTATCCTGTGGTTTAGGTTGTGCTGTGCAGAAGATGGCATTGATAGAACCTGTGCTTTGTTCTGACGTTAGTGTTATGCACATTGTTGTGTGCTGGGCAAAGTGGTACGTGGAATAGGAACCACATGTGTGTGAGGTTTCTGGTACTCCTCCTGCTTTGGGTCAGTCAGGTATTTGATATGTGTTTCTCAGGGTACTGCTGTTGAAGGTAGCTGAATCCTGCAAGTCATTTTCAGCAAGAGGCCATCTGCAGATGAATTTGCAAATTTGTGGGTTTTGGTAGTGTTAGTGGCAGCAGCAACAGTGGTACTCAATCAGCAGCAGCAGTAGCTTAGATTTAGCTCCTAGTCGATTATGCAGGTTGCAGTGTTTGTAAATGTATTGTCACCTCGTCGCCACCCCAATATAGCCTCAATGCTCCCGTGCCTGAATGTGCTTGGTGCTTGGTTGTAACATCTTGACCTCGTCGCCACCCCTTTCAGAGGCGCTGACTTTGTCATAGTCTTCATTCGGTCAATGCCCAGGCCTGTATCGGGCTCACAATGTAAGTGCACAATTCAGAAGTTGTGTTCTATACAGGCTGTGCGAAAGTCGGACCTGCAAACGTCGCGCAACCAAGCACAGAAGCGAAACCCGATGGAGGACCTGAAGAGGGAGATCATGATCATGAAGAAAATGAAGCACCCCAACATTGTGACACTGACAGAGGTGATTGACGACCCTTCTGGCAGCAAGTTGCTCCTGGTGATGGAGTACATGGAGGGGGGGCCCGTCATGACCAGGGAGGCCCTGGAGCGCTGTGAGAGACTCCCTGAAGAGCTTGTGGCACGCTATTTCAAGGACATGGTCAGGGTGAGTGGACAAGCTGGGTGTGTTCGACGCAGAGTACACACTGCGCTGAAGTGCAGGTTCTAAGGATGGCACAGTGATGGAGGCAGGTCATGCATGGACGCTCTTGCTTCCAATGGTTTTCCTCAGCCTGAGCTCAGGCTGCAGCTTTGACTGTCGAGCGGAGGCAGCTGGGAGATAGTGTTGGTTGGCAATGCTGCAACATAACATAATGCCTGCCAAGCACTCGGGAGTGCCACTGGTGTTCATGTTGTTTTGTGCCTCTGCATGAATGAATTCTGAGGTGACCTGTGCTGGCAGGCGCTGGATTACCTGCACAGTCAGCGTGTGGTCCATGGGGACTTGAAACCGGAGAATGTGCTGGTGTCGGCACACGGGGAGGTCAAGCTCAGTGATTTCGGCTGCTCCAAGGTTATAGTTAGTGGGAATGAGTATCTTGAACGGTGCAACGGCACCCCTGCCTTCCTGGCACCAGAAATGATGAAACCCAACAGCAGATACAGGTAAGGTTTCCTGCCTTTGTGTTGATCCATACCCAAAACCACAGGCACAGGTTGTGTGCTTAGTTCTCAACAGCAGGGAAGCTCGGCTTGCTGTACTGCACATCCCTTCGTACTGTCTCTTTGTGTTGTGTGTGCTGTCTCCCTGTGGCCGTGGCCATTGATATCAGCCTTGTTCCTCCTGAGCAGCAGTGCGTGCTCAACACAGTCTCTGCATTTGACCGCGGACACATGTTTTGGGCAGTTGCTGACCACAATCACCTGTGTATATACCAGGGGCCGACCAACAGACATCTACGCTATGGGTGCCTGCCTATACACGCTGGTTTTTGGAAGGATACCGTTCACTGCACCAAATCTGTACCAGCTGTTCCAGGTGGTCCAGAATGAGAACGTGACGTTTCCCGAGAGCGTGCATGTCTCTGAAAGTCTCAAAGACCTGCTGACGAGACTGCTTACAAAGGTAGGTCATTTGTCATCCACCCTTGCCCTTGCTTCTGGATTATGAGCAGCTTTTGGGTGGGTTTGTTTTTGCTTGATCGGTTGTTTTTCTCCTGGCTGGAGGGAAGGCTTGTGTTTTCACCAGTTGTGCAAGCACCAGCTGAAGTGGTGTTGTGTCAGATAATTTCTCTCCAGCACGCAAAGATTCGTGGCAGCTTTGCGTGCCTACACTACGGATTGATGGAGAATTCTGCTCCGCTGAACAACAACCATATGAAGCTGAACCAGCTTGATTGACTCTTTCAGTGTTGTGCAGAATCCGAAGGAGAGGATTACTCTTCTGGAGGTGCGGCACCATCCTTGGGTGACAGGGAATGGGAGGTATCCACTGCCCAGGTGGACTCCGCACAGTGACCCATATGCGAATGCAGCTCACGAAAATAGTGCACACAAGGTCAGGGACTTTATTGCAAAGCTTGCCAAGCAAAGCGTGCGGGAAAGGACATTCGAGGAGTCGGAGATTCTACTGCGGCAGGGCGACACAGGTGTGACGGACAAGATGTACATTAAAATTTCAAGATGCATATAAAACTCCCTGAAACACAGGTCATACAATGGAACATCCTTTTCTAAACAAGCATACAGCAGGTGCTTTTCTGCTTTGCAGTGCCGTAGGCGCCACCATCGACAAGAAAGAAATTGAAAGCATGATGCATGCACCAAACCAGGAAACATGTGCTCTGGGGTGTCCGCAGGAGCCAACTTGTCATTGTTTGTTCACTGTAGCAATGTGTGTATGTGTGTGTGTGAACACCGTGTTGTTGACCAGAGTACAGGGAGTTGCTGTATTCTGAAAGTTTCATTGTCCGTATGCATGTCCTGAACTTCAAGTCGCTGGCCCAGCCTGGGCTTCCTTGTGCCTGACAGTGAGACTGAACATTACTGTGCAAACACAGGGAGCTTCATGCTGTACATTGTGAGCGGCAAAGTCGAAGTTCTCCTGAAGTGCTCGATGCCTGCACGCCGCACTGGCCGCAACCACACGTCCAATCGCAAGCGGGGCTCGACAGACAGCGGGGACCCGCTCATGAACTCCTCTGACAGTGCCTCATCTGTCGCCCTTACCGATGAGGACCGGCAGGCTCGCCAGATCTTGGTTAATGCATCCTCCAACGCCATCAAATTCATACGCACCCTAGACCGCAGCCCCTTTGGGCTGCATGTTGGGACTCGAAACGGCGGGGACGTCGTTGGAGAGATGGCGCTGTTCTCTCGCGAGTCCACACGCACGGCGACGGTTCGTGCGCTCACAAGGACCACAGTCAAGGTGTTGTCTAAGGAGGAGGTGTTCAACTACTTTGCGCGGCACGCAAAGGAGAAGCAGCAATTAAGGGAGGTGATGTGGAGGCGGGAGGGGGAGAGTGTGACAGTGGAAGGGCTATTTCAGCTGGGTAAGGTGCACGAGGTGTTGGCCAACTCTTGGGGGATGCGGTGACGTGTCCTATCCATGATGGGGCGTAGGGGCGGGGGTGGGGTGTGTGTGTAGACTGGCAGGGTGGGGGACTCTGCCGGGTAATGCTGGGAAAGATGGTGGTGAGAGGATTGGTAGGGTGCCAGAAGAAGGCCAGAACGAGTCAGAACTTTGAGACACGTAGCTGTGCATGTTCGGCACAGTTTTTTGTTCTTGTGACCTGATCAGCGATTGCATGAGCTGGGTAGTGTGGATGCACACACTTGCCGGCTGCTGCCATGGGAGCAGGTTGGCTGTGGGATGGTGCAACCAAGAGGGCGCCTGCCTCTGGTCGGGTGGGATGAGGGTGTGTCACATTTGGAAGGGACAGTATTGTCAATAGACAGTTGTCAGTTGTGACATAAATTACTGGAAGGGGTGCTATTAGCCTTAACATGCGCTGTGTGAGTGTGTGGGGGCATTGATCGGTCCAGGTGGGGGGTGCATTGTGGGCAGCCTGGTGTCTCGTTTCGGGGCCGCGCGGCTGTTGCAGTTCCTTTTGTTTGGGCTTGCAGGCAGAAAGGCTGTAGGAGTAGGAATGTTCAGGATTCAATGGGTTGGCTGTCTGGGTTGGTGTAGGGACTGTAGCTGTGGCTGCCGACCATGCTGAACTATTGACGTCCTAAATTCTTTTGGCTGCCATCGAAGTTTGCATTCGCTGATGTTCGACAAGAGCAGATGCGCTTTTCATAATTGGATGTATTGCCATTGGTGAGAGATGGCAGCCAGGCAGAGATCGTGGGAGGGGGTGCAGGTGGCGACACAAAAAGTGGACACAAGAACGTCGAATCGTGTGGCCAGGCTACGCTGCTGTTCACCAAAAGTAGAGATGGCGAGAACAGAATGGACAACGTGCCATGGAGGCGCCCAGGTCTGCGGGGGATCGCATGTCTGATAGACCTAAAATTGAGGCATCATAATTGGCGAAGATGGTTGAACACCATTTCATTGAATGACGCAGCGGTTGTTGTGACTCAACGAAGCGAAGCACCAGGCAGTGCAACTGCATGTGGCGTTAGCACCCGTGGCGGCTTGGTGCACCTCGGCGGGGGCCTCACGGCGTGATGTCCCACGTTGGGCGTCGTCAGGTGCTCTGTCCCTGCATAGTCGTCTTCGCCATGCTGCGGCTCCAGCCCGTGCGATGATAGCGCATGCAGTAGCGGCTGGGACCGGAATAAGTCCAATGTGGCACACAGCGGGAGCAGTGTGAACATCGCCTTTCATCGCTCTGTCTAGATAATCGGTGTGTAAATTTATCTCTGACCGACTCGCAGGCCGTGCGTTGCGTTCCCCACCGGCGGCCGCATGTGCGCCCTTGATGGGCACCATTGGGCTTTGCAGCTACCTGGCGCCATGTGTGCAGGTTGCCTTGCCTAGCGTTTATGTTCCCCCTCCCCATGCTTGTGTTGGCCCTGTTCGGGACGCAGTGCAATGTGTGCTGCTTTTGACATCGCCGGTGCCCTCTATCAGATTGGTGCCACCCTCTAACCCATCTCCCTGCAATCCCCATGCAATCGGGTGTTTCAGTACCAGGAAAATATGTCTCGCCTTGTTCGATGCGAATATGACGCAACTCTCGATGGGGGTGGGAGTGCTAAATTATCGCACAGTTTCCTTGCCATTTTACATGAAACTAGTTCCACCAGATACACACGTGGAAATGCCCATAAGGGCAGGACATGTGTAGATGCCCATAAGGGCGGTGCAATACACAGCTGACTGAGGCGAGTCGTGCCTGCCGGCCTGGAGAAGTCGTGGCGACTATGGTTCCTAGCACCAAGCGTCATGGTGTTTGCAAACGCCTGGTCGCGCTCAGTGCGGCATTACTGGCCTTGTCTCGATAATGCGGGGACAGCACCTTTCTGAGCTTACAGCGCACACTCATTTCGCGTGTGATGCAGTTGGCTTCCGTACCCTAATGCACTAGCGAAGCCTGCAGTGCACAGCGTGAGGGGCTCAATGCTCAACAGAACTGCGTCAAGCCCAGCACGGGTAAGAGGAGAGGTCGCCAACCAACCAATCGCTGCATTAGGCACATGTTCGTGACGTTGCACAGTGACAACATCCCTGCGCTGTGGGCCACATTTGAAGTGAGCTCGCGAGGACTCGTCATGTCTGACACATGGCAAACTGCATGTCGTGGTTCGGGCAGGCCACCACTGGAGCCACGAATGGAAAAACAAAGTGAAGGAAGCAACCAAAATCTTTGACCACAGAACCAGTACGAGTCATTCTGGTGACCACAAGTGCCCCAGGCATGATACCTCGATAAGCAGGAACAACATCACTTAGTGTTACTTAGTATCACTTTGTATTGCTTAAAGTAGACTCTGTTATGAAAACGCCTGAAGAAACCAGACAGTTGACTCTCCAAATTGAGGACCTGCCGGAGGCCTGGATGGACGGATGCCGAGTCAGTCTGGCTCATCTGTCCGAGCGTTAAATAAGGGAGCATCTTCGTTCCGATAGTTTTCGTGCTCCAAATTCCTGAAAAGGGATGCTGCTGGCTTCAACGTTGTTATGGATGGACAAAAGCCCTGGACTGAACTACTCCATTCGGATTTATCCACCAAAGAGCCTTTCCGAGATTTTAGTTCTGCTTTGCTGGTCTTCCAGCCCTATTGACAAGTTCACACATGACAGATCCACCGTCAAGTCATGTTGCCGCCACACGTACTGCGGAACACATCTCTAACATACGTTAGGTTATCTTGCTTGTCGTGTGTGTTGAAATCGCTGTTAGTCATTGTGCCGCCGAGCACAATGACGGGCTCGTGACTGACATACGGCAGCTGACTGCGTCCAATTCAGATTTGACAGGTCAGGAGAAGATGGACAGCCGCTCAGCGTTGCAGAACAGCGAGAAACATGCTGCACGAATTTGGGCTTTGATGATCAGCACAAAGGTAATATAGCCAGACTGATGATAAACGTGAAAGAAGAAGCTTCAGCTTACGGGGAAAAAATAGACAGGAATCATACGGGGATGCTGTTGAAAGCTCCAAGACACCTGTGTGGACCTCAGAAACCATACTGAAATGGCTATGAGGCAGTAGTTCAGACATGTAGCACGGCAGCGGTGCTGAGCACCCAAGTGCTGCGGAAACGCTGCCGAAATTTGGCGGAATGCTGCCAATAGAACTGCAGAGCAGCTCATTGGAACATGACATGATTCAATGGATGTGGTGCTCAAGGGAAAACGCTGCAGAAATATTCACCGCTGCAGCTGCAGAATTAGACATGATAAGAAAAGAAATTTATGGCTTTCTAGAGAAGGTATACTGCATAATATGTGACAGGAATATGCCTGCAAAACTAGCTGAGGGCAATATACTACAGGATAAGAACATCATCCACAGAATTCAGATGAAAAGGGGAAAGAGGGCTGGTAGAATGCTGCCTATTTCTATGGAACTGGCCAGCATTGGGATGGTTGTTTATACCATCGCAATATAGGACAATATACAGCTTGAAAGAGAGCCTTGTGGACTCGTTGAGTATAAGGCAGGGTATACTGGACAGCACATGATAAATGACAATCGCCACTAATGGATGGCTGTCGTGCTGTTGCCGTGGACTAGAGGTATGCATTGAGTAGTGGTCATTTGGGAATAGTTTTGGGCGGATTAGTGTACGTCATGGGCACTTCAAAGACCAGTATAACTTGACGGTGTATTGCGACGCATCCCAAATGCAAGCAAAGAGTACCGGCAGGAAAGCTGAAGCATGCCGTACACAACACACCGCCCTGGCAGTGCGCACGTCTGTCATTGGCTTGACGGGTCGTCATGTCGCACGGATCCCTCCGAGCGGGCGGCTTGGAGCCCGACCACGTGCTGCAAGTTTGAGCGACGCGCAGCGAGTCGCCCGACCCGCCGTGGGAGCGGGCAAACGGGCAGAACTCTGTCCCCTGGGCAGCGCCTCACGTCGTCAGTTCGAGGGGGGGCAGGGCCGGGGCCAGGCATACGTGCCGTTGGACCTGGTCGCAAGCAAGGACGGGCTTGCCGATGGCGTGGCCGCCCCGGCGTGACGACAGATCGGTCGGACGCAGCGAGCGCAACGGACGCAGTGGGGGCTGCGGACGATGACGCTGATGACGACACGGACTACCTCAGCATAGGCGGAGGAAAAAACACAGCGTGCGCAAAAGTCATGGATGGAGACTGGACATTCGCACACAAGTCGTGAGGGTCCAGAAACGGAAAGGAAGCAGCAGAGCCGTCTCAAAATAAGATGCCGTTGGTAAAGATTGACTAAAAATATTAACAATCCGCGCTCTGTACTTAGCATGAGGTGCTGCGGATGGTGTTTGACTGAATAGAGCTGATTCACGGTCAGTTGGTTCAACGGGATGCAACGGATGAGCCAGGACATGAAGTGTGGCTGTGCTATAGTACCTTGTTTATGTATCAGTGGGATATGAGGGGAATATAAGCTGATCTGGAGGAATCTAGGCAACTAGGGTGAAGTCATGCCACCATGGTGAGCCGGATGACCCTAGGACGCGAACTACAGTGATTTCATTGATATGTTGGTTCTGTGCCAGTGTGAGGGACTGATTCATATTATAGCTGTGAGATTTGCAAAATCCAGTTGACAATTAGAAGATGCGAAGGAATATTCGGGGAACATTTGTAATAAGGAGCGGAGTCATGCGGACAGCAAATAGGGAAGCGCTTCCCCTTTCATTGCCGGCACAGCCGAGTGGACGGCGGCTCCAAGGGACCAAACAGACAGAAATTGTAAGAATTATTGGTTTAGGTCAAGTAACGAATGGAAGACACAGCCCGTGGAGGCTGCCTTGTGATTCAGGAGTGTGTGTGTGTGGAAACGTTTGTGATTTATGGCACTCCACTACTTGAGGGAAAAGGTGCCGAAAGCGTGTCCTATTGGGAACGCGTGCGGGGCCCCAAGCGCACATCAGTACTAACACACAACGTAATAGACTGGAAATCATACACGGTTCCAGAAAAACACAAGCAGAT